AGGCAAAAAAGCGTATTTCCAAAACTGTCAACCCGGGTCCTATCTCTCACACAGAGGTTAAAACAAAGCCAAGACAAGACTAGAGTTATTCTGCCTAATATCAGCATCTAGACAAGAGAGGTCGTCTGGCAGTGGAGATAAAGGTGGGTGTGGGTCCTAACAGACTCTGTCCATCTTCCTCGCCCACCATGGGCAGTCCAGGCATCTCTGCTCCACATTCCTCAGATAATAGAGGGCCATCCCAGACGAGCAGAGGCAAGCCTGGACCCACCTGGGCAGACCCTGGTAAATTCCTCTCATGCTCGCAGACCCACTTGGATAAGAAAAGCTGGAGAGACGTTGGGGCATTTCTAGGAATGTCTCTTTGCTCTCCACCAGATCAAATCGAAAGCAGTATTTGAACCAGCTGAGCTTCATGCTTGTTCTGGAGGAGCCAAAACAGCACTCGACATGGCAAACACTCCAGGTCTCTGCTGTGGGTAACGTCCACCCTGTGCCGACCCACCCACCTACCCCCCTCTGCTCTCACTATTGTGTTTTCTTGGCGCTGATGCTATGGAAGAGAGGGGCTCGGGTGGGGGAGGGCAGTGTAGGGCTACCGACACCAGGGCCATTGTTTCTAAGCGACCCCCATTCAGGGTCATTTAGCATGTGACACCTCTGGGGGCACAGTGCCTTGCTAATGGCACAGAAGAGCAATACATGTGCCAGCTCCCTACACTGTGACCTGAACCAACATGATGAGAAACAAAGTAGGAGAGATAAGGAGGAAGGAAGGTGGATGGCATGAGGAAGGCAAATCTACAGTCTCAATATTAACGACAAGAAAGCAACAGCATGATGGATGGATGGCAGTGAGAGAAACAGACATAAAGCATACCAGACGCTTCAAGGAGCTCATCTACATACCTGAGGAGGGTGTGTGTACCCCAGTATGTGTGATCTATGAGAGTGTGTGTTTACCGTAAGTGATGGGAAGGTCAGCAGCCCTCAGCCATGGGCATTCCTGCCTGGGCATCAAAAGGAATAGGAGAAAGAGACACTGGGGGAGGGTAGAGGTATTGATACAGTGTTTACCACAGCTGGGTCTGTCCCAACTACAGGAGAGGAGGCTTCAGAAGGAAGCCTAGTAGGGTGAAGGCCACTGTGTCCAGTTTTCTGATTTTTTATTTGATCCTTTACGGGAAATAAACTTTTTGACTTATGTCTAGTGTTAGATGTGAACACCAATACCATTTGTGTATTATCCACGAAGCTGTAGCTAGTTAAAAAGGAAGATTGAATGCAGGGTGACTGGAGGGTAACAGACGCAGCAACTTTGTGAAAAATCACGAAAGGTATTTTGTAGTATCTTGTCAGCAGCACATTTCCCCATTAGAATGTAGTTTTGTTAGAGACGTAAATCAAGTCAAAGGATTAAGCATTTTTGGCCAATAATTATATAGTTGGATCAAGGGGAAAAGGTACTTCTTTTTAAGGGGGCTCTCAATGAATCCAAACAGTAAAAATGGTTCTGCTGAGAGCTTGTAATACAGAGTTGAAGATGATTGTCAGTTGTGCAGCTATCATCTTTGGGATAAGAGAATCAGCAGAATAAATACCAGAGCATTTAATGACTGGTTTCTTGGTACAAAACATATGATCCAATAATATGCTAATGATATGTGACAGCTGAAGATGATCAGCTGATGTGAGAGGAATAGCCTAAAATAAGGCTCTGCATTATTTGGCCTATTTTAATGTATCTTGGCAACAAAATCTTTTAGGTGCCCCTCACTGAGTGATGGGAACTTTCTTGTGACCACTGAAAGTAAGTGTAGTACTTACTTTCACTTTTTTCTTAACATAGGTAACATGAAGCTGTCTGTGGCTCTTTCCTGCTGTAACGATGCAAATTTCCCCTCTTTGGGACTAGTAAAGGTATTCTGATTCTGATTCTGACTAGTACCCCCTGTGTTTGGCTTTTTTCCTATCTTTTCAGACTTTCCCTTTTGACACATTACATACTTTTGCATATGCAGCTCCACAGGGGAGTCATAATAACTAAGGCCTCGTCCACACGGAGACGATATCAGTTGAATCCGCTAACGTTCTCCATCGTATGTATAGACCAGGGGTTTTCAAAGTGTGGGAAGGTGAGCCTCCCCTCAGAGAAAATAAGAACAGCCACGCCGCGCCCCCCCTCCCAATTATTATTGCTATTATTATTATTATTATTATTGTTGTTGTTGCTATAATGCAGGGGTATTCAATTGCATTTCAAAGAGGTCCAGTAAGAGAAAATGTCATTAAATGCTCTGTTTTCGCTGTGTACCTTTTTTGAGCACGCCATTTTAAATGACTCCGATTGTTTCTTCTTGTCTCGTCTCTGTGTGTCAATCACTCAATCAATGTTTATTTATATTGCCCAATATCACAAATGTTACATTTGTCTCAGTGGTCTTCACAGTTTGTACAGAATATCAGTATGACAATACGACACCCTCTGTCCTTAGACCCTCACATCGTACAAGGAAAAACTTCCAGAGAAAACCCACAGTTTAAAGGGGAACATGGGAGAAACCTCAGGGAGAGCAACAGAGGAGGGATCCCTCTCCCAGGACGGACAGACGTACAATAGATGCCGTGTGTAAATCGAAAAGATAATAGCATACAGACCGAATGTTAGGAAATGCATGTGTCTATAATAAGAAGATGAATCCACGAGGATGTTAGCAATCTTGTGGGAGCCATCAGGGAAGTAGTATGGTGTGTGTTTGAATCTATCGTGCTGACTCACTGACTGCACCGATTTGATTGGCTGAGTCGCGTAACCTCTTTAAAACATTAAACAACAACCTTTTTATCTTTATGTTTTAAACATGTTTTTTTAACATTTTCAACATCATGGATAAATCCTTATATGCTCCCGGCAACACACTGAATGTCAACTTTGCCTCCTTATTACACTCACCCCTACTTTAGTGGGAACAATGAGTCTGCGTCTTTGATGCGCACAGGCGGATGATGCGGGATGCAATGTAGACAGGAATAAACGCAGATCATCCTCTGGCTGCAGCCTTGACCGGTACTTGCTTTTGATCAAAGTCAATGCGGAAAACCCGCACTCACACAGGTAGGCGGAGGTGAAGGGAATGAGCACTTTTACAGCCTTTTTGGCGAGGTGGGGGAACTCGGTCTCCACAGACAGCCAAAAGTGTGCAAGTGACACATATTTTCTGCCAGACGCTGTCTCCTCTCTCACTTCACTAAAAATCGATCCATGTTGCCACTCGCATAAAGTTAGCTGAAGTTAACTAGCTAGATTTCACTGTTTCTCTTTTTTTCCCTCTGGCGCCCCCCCGGGGAGGCACGCCTCCCACTTTGAAAACCGCTGGTATGGATGGTTCGTCCACACAAGGCCGACACGGAAACGCAGATTCGGAGCCCGAATCCGATACACGTTGATAACGGCTCCCAAAGTGGATAGGTCTGAGGACGAAACGCTTGCGGCTCCGTGTGTACACCCTATACAATCATTCCCTGAAACCGATGACACCATAGCCCCACCTCTCCTGCTTACCTCCGCGTCATTGCTGATGCGTTTCGCCAACAACAATGGCGGATCACAGGGTTGTGTTCGTGCCCAGACGCTACTGACCATTATACACATTTTTGTGCAAAATGTACAGCTCCTCTACTACAACCATCAGCAACAATAATAAAATATAATAATAATAATCGGTCTTATTTGCTGCTTTTGGTGTATTTTGTGGCGGAAGTAAAGCGCCACGGCACTTACAGGCCCGGCATATGTACTACAGCGTCTCCAGCGGTCTCGTGTGGACCATGGATGTATAATAAGAACTGGATACAGCGTGGGAGGCGGGGTCTCGTTCTTTCGTATGAGAGCTGCTCATTGGCGCATGAAGGCAAAATGGCCCAACCTTTGAGAGAGCGAAAAGTCACAGATTACCCGTCATGCCTGGCTGTCAGAGCAGAAGAAGAACCCGTATGTGCAGTCAGAGCATGCCGCGCTCCCACCCTCGGCTCAGTAGAATGAATGGAGAAAATAAATCTAGATTCGGCTTTTAGTGCATTTTACAACATTAAGGACTTAATGAGTCTAATAAGGGCTATAACATAGTTAATACTGGGTAGTTTATTTAGTTTAAAAAAAATGATCCGCTGATTTACTGACGTCTCTTTCCCCATGTTAGTCAATGGGAAAAAGTAATTCTGGGCCCAGTGACGTCACGGACTGATACGGAAATTGTGTTACCGCCGTTTGGACACTACGAATTTTGGGCACAGAGTCCAGTGCACTTCCTGGGGGCTTGGTGTGGACTGGCACGTTTCTTGAGCCGATTCCGTGTGGACGGAAGACTTTTTTGATATCGAATTCGGTTCGTTTTCGTCTCCGTGTGGATAGGGCCTAAGACAATACTATGGAGATACAAATAGGCTAGAGAGTCATCACCATTTAAGTGCTGGTGCATCAGTGGCAAAAAAGTATGATTATGCAATATAGGAAAGGAAATACCCAACACAGAGCATATCAAAGGAAAGCTAGTGTTCACAAGTTGGTCACCTTGTCAACTGCTTAAAATATTCTTGACAGGCGGTTTGCAAATACTAAAAGCTATAGATAAAAAAATAACCACAAAATTAAGTCAATATCTCTTTAAAACAGTGTTTCAGAAAACATATAATTACAGCATGATTGGTTTTCAAGTGTTATTTGTCCCCACCCTGTACATTGTCTATGGAGAAAACCGGATTTCACTTCACACAAATGAATTACTCGTACACAACACGTCACAGGCATGTTCACAGAATGTGCATCAACTAACCCCGAGGCACACTGCACAGGGTAGCAATACCTGAACTATGGCAAGAAATGTGACCTGTGAGTGGGGAGATAGAACCCATTATATATTATCTACAACAAGGATCCCTTACACAAAGGCAGAAGGAGACTTGTTCTCGAGACAGGAACACAAAAGACAGAAACTCAAACATTCTTGGTTTTCAATCAAGCTTTTAATGAAAAGATCATAAAATAACAGTTTATCTTTCCTCACTGCTGTACATTAAGACTGCAAGGTTGTGAGTGCTGAGGTCAGCTGTATTACACTTTTATGACACTTTGAGTTTGCGAGCCCCATCGCTATGCACGGCGGTGGCTCTGACCTGAATACGAGCTCTCTGAGGAGTGGAGATAAAGAGAGAGCCCTGCCTGGGTGCTGCCAAAAGCCACCAAAAAGGGTCACAGAACCTCACCTTTAAATACTGCTGTCTGCATGTTCGGTTGTGTATGAAGTTTAGACGGTGGCATTTGTGTGTGCATGAGTGGGGGTCTATGCGCATACATGCCAGGAAAAAGCACCTGGGTGTGTACACCTTTGCATGTGAAGTGTGTTTGCCAAGGGGGGAGGGCCTCTCGTCCTTTAATTATTCATCAGCAAAGACCCTACATGTCCCTTCCAGAGCCTCTCAGCCTACGGAACCTGATACATTATTGAGAGGATGATCCTGAAGAAAACAGATCAGAGAGGAAGCATGATACACCCACTTCATGGGGAGCTCCACTGATCAACTCTTCAAGTACCATTTTTTTAGCAGCTAATCATGTCTTCCATTAATGTAGTGCACACCAAAGTGACACTGTGCCATGGTAAATTAGAAAAAACAGATGTAAATTAAGGTTATGTATGAAAATAGGCTGCTACAAACTCTATTTCAAAAAGGATTTTTTTTTGGTTACAGTTGGACGGCAACAAAATAAAAATAGTATAAATCTTAGAATGTAATGGCAAGACAGCACATTTCTGTAAACACTGAAAGTTTTGAGGTAATTTGGTGTTTTTCAGTCACTACTGCGCATCGTCACTGGAGGTACAGTAAATACTGACGTGAAATGTCAGCAGGGGCTGAGAATAAAGTCGCCTAGGCAGTAACAGATTACAGAGGGTCAAAGGGCTAAAGCAGGAAGTCAGGTGTATCTGAGATAAAGCAAGGGACAATAAAGCTGAGAAATGCTTCAATGGCACCAGAGGCCATTTTAAAACTGGCTTTGGTTAAGTCTGCCGAGGTAAGTAGGAGCATCTCCATAATAACTGGACAGACCAGCCCCTCTACTACAAAATGCCTGGAGAGGATAGTCACAACCCTACAAGGTGTAACAACGATAATACCATGAAATTAAATGGAAATGTGAATGGGTAGAGCCGAGTACACTCTCTCTGCATTTCCTGCTTTGTATATTCATTTTAAAGCTTTGTAACACTGCATAATGATGAGATTTCAACAAACACACAGGAACAATGATGAGGTAAGAAGAGAAAGACAAAGAGTAAACCGTCAGTTAATGGGAACTGATATGAAAGCGCCTGGGTCTTCCCAGAAGCTTTGAAAAACATACAAAGTGCACTTAGTAAAGCTATCTCACCCAACGTTTCTAAAATCCTCCAATGTAGAACTAATAGACACTAAAAACAGATACATGTAAATAAGAAAGACGAAGTGGCTAGTCGTTTAAGACAAGAAATGTAACAATAGTCATGACAACACTGCGATTCAGCAGAGAGAGTTGTTATGTGCATGTTTGTGAATGTGTGTGTTTTTTTAAATGGCAGCAGCATGGCAACACCCAGGGAGAGCAGGCTAAAAAAGATAAAGTAGCCTCCGTTCTGCACAGGCAGGTCTGTGTCCTGCCTGTGTCCACAGACACACACACACAAGGGGTTACAATTCAACTCCCCTGGTGTGCAGTCATTCAGTGAGAACTCAAGAACACATGGGCAAAAAACACCCATAGTGAATCACATGAAATAAAAACCTTACAGACCGTCAGGTATAACTGAGAAAGAAACCATTTTCTTTGAGTTGGAAAAAAAATCAGTTCTCCCACAAAAAAAGTCAACTTCACATATTGTGGTCTTGTGTCTCACTTTTGATTCTCAGCTTGAAATCCTCAAAACAAAAAAAATAACAAAAAGGGGTCCTGCCTCCACCTCAGTCTCACACACTGAGCACATTCTTTGCAGAGGTGAGGACAGGACCAGAAATAAATACATTCATCACTGACAATAGACATTTGATAAAAAAAAAAGAACACTGTCAATAAGTGTGTGCACCAACTTTGTTTGAGGCCTGGCCAGCCAGAGGTTTGTGCTGCTTTTACTCACAGAACACAGGCAGCTAAGAAAAAAAACATCATAAAGCAGAAAAATGACAATAACATTCACAGTTAAGACTATCAGCTGAGCCTGTTTACATGCAGTGAACAAATCAAAGCTACATTCTCCAAATAGGTTTCGTGAACCGCCAGCATGAGAGATGTACCATGTTACTAAAACCACCCAAAACATTCTAGCATCACCCACCCACTACATCATGGGACCCTCACAGCAGAGGTAGTCCTCGAGTGCATTTGGGCAAACCGAGTCACAAAATATAGCTAAAGACCCTGTCTAACAATGCCTTTTGATTAATACGTCAAGGATGCACTGCCCACCCCCATCGCTGCGCTCCCATCAGAAGACAGGCCAGAGGGCAGGGGGAGCGGGGCGCAGGGTCACCCCAAAGCCAGCTGGCAGAGAAGGGGGAGCCCCTAAACCACTTGCCCCTCCCCATAATTGAATATGTAGCAGTTCACCCCATGTTTGACGCTATGCTTTTGCTTTGGCAGCAACCTCTGTGGAAAAGCATCTTTAAGAATAAAACAAAATACACAAAATCACCTCTCCGTCTGGCCGAGCCTCGATTGAGGTCTGTAAAACTGTAAAAGTTTATGTAAACAATGAGATAAATACATATGTTTCTTTTTAGAGCCACACATGGTTCCATAATCATTCAAATGTGCTTTGGTTTAAAAAATAGTTTGTGGATTTGGGTATGAGCTTTTCTTTTCTTCTTCTTCTGAGTTCTTTATACAACTTTGAAACTATTTCTGAACATACTGTGTTACTAACTAAAATGTAGACTTGTTTCAAGCTGCCTCGCCTTTGTCCAGGCTCTTTGTGTTAGTTGAAAAAGTACCCCGCCCGTTTGTCTTAAATACGAAACTAGTGTTTTGCTTTTCCCATGATTAAAATACAGAGAAATCGATACAATACTATGTCTTACAAATGTAGCTGAGAGTCTGCATTCGCAGATGCAGAACAATCCCTGAAGTATTTGAGTAGTAGTAGTACTAGTAGTAGTAGTAGTAATAGTAGTAGTATTGTCACAGTTTGGAGTTCGTAGTTTTTTTCTTCGTTATGTCAAGCAAGCAAGCATTCAAATGCAGCTGCAAAGTCTTTTGCAGAGATGGCTAGAGATCTTGATGTATAAAAACACCTTTTGCATGACAGACATTATGCTGTACTGCAGTAAGTGCTGACAAGTACAATAACGTTTGAAGGCAATGCATTGTGGACTCCCTCTTAAGCTAGAAGAGGTCACAAGCAACAGTGGATCAGGCGATAAATAACATGTTTGTGGTTGGGTCGGGGAGTGTGAAAAATTCATAGATGTACCATGCAATCACTGAACAGCAACTGCTTAAACAGCAAGACACCAACATCCAACATAACCAAGTAACAGCCCCGGGAGTCCAGGACGCAGGTACCTTTAAACGGTAGTGATGTTTGTGTAACTGTAGCTGCATCCCTATAACAAACATTTCACAGACCATAACATGAGGACGAAAGAGGAATACAAAAAATCAAGAAGACAGTTAAACCAACATAATAGAGGAATGCCTATACCAAAAACTTGTAGTGAAGGTTCATGCTCCACAGTGTAACTGTTAGAGTAGATACACTGGACAGATAACAGAGTGGCCATTCCCATCGCGTGGTTGCTTATGATGAGGTAAAGCTTTAGCGGTCTTAAATCATTTTAAATCATTCTGTGACATAATGAAATACAATCAGAAACAGAAGGATGCCGCAGGAGACCGATGAGTTGTTCAGCTGTCCAGTGCATCTCTGCTTCTCCCTTCTTATTACAAGTTTTCACAAGTCTGGCTCAAAAACTAACAAGCAACTTGAACTTCACATTAAAATTCTGATTATAATTCCTATCTTTTTTGTCTTTTTCTTTTTTTTTTGGTCTGAACAGAACACATACAATGTCATCAAGTCCTGTTTTTAAAGTCAGGGAATATAAAGTGATAAGGACTCTGGATACAAACGAAAAGAAAACATGTTCAGGGAACACGTTTTTAAACTTCACCATTTCGTTAGGTGGTAAAGTTTAATTATACCGGCCCACCAATCAGCACAAGCTTTCCTTGCAAACCACAATAAACTTCCTCAGTCTCAGAGTCATTGGCCAACATTCCATCAAAAGAGTGGATTTCTTTGTCTGGACTTAGAATATAATTCATAATTTGTTTTATACAGCAAAAAGGAAATCAAAAAGTGAAATAATTTAGTATGCTATAAATCTTAAGTACATCTTTTTAAAACTTTGGTTATGAACTTGTCTAGCAATGTTAGTTAGCTCTGTTCTCCTCAACATTCATAAGATCTTTGGAACACTATACATCTACACTAACTAACCACTAATTGCTCCAGGCAGGAAGCTACAGTACACTTTGAGGTGGGGCCACACTGACCAGGGCACCCGAAAAGCTATATTTGACAAGTAAATACAACAGCTAAAAACAATATTAATGTGTAAAACCTATGAGCATCAAAAACCTGTGTTGAGAGATGGGCAGGTTAAAGCATTAGGTGAAAAGTTACCATAATCTACACACTTTTTACAATTAATTACATAGGAACTTTCAACTAATCAACATAGAGTTCGTAAGAATAATCAGAGGTAGCGAGGTCACAAGCCTATATAAATAGACTTTTCTTTTTTCTGAGGGGAGGAAAGCTATACAGACAAAAATAAACGTACCCACTGAACATAACGTTCAGTCTAAAACCCCTTCTCCTTAGCCAGCCCCCCCCCCCCAGCCCAAATCCCTCCCCTCAACAAGAAACATCCCAAGACTTTCCAGTTTAAACATTCACTGACACATTACAAGCTCTTTAAGTAAATCAAGTACCTCAAGGGGTTTCAAACCAGGATTCTCTCCTGGGAGCACTAGCAGGCAAAACCAAAAACATTGAAAATCCTCTCTGTATTACTGTGAACAGCTGTATAGAGGACTTTGAGTTTTCATGGTCTGTGAAAATAAAAACATAATCCAATGTCATTCCACCTTTTTTGAGGTCTTTCAGTTAAAGCATGGAGATGGTCCCAAACCCAGTTATCCCTCCTCTTACATACAGATCCCCATCACCAAAATAACAAAGGATATAAAGCTGTCAGGGTAAAAATAATCTTTTGCTGAATTATTGCCAGTATTGTTTGCGCAGGTTTTTGGTCAAAATAGCACTGGAGTTCAGAGGGGACTTTTGAGTTCATCAGTATGAGGACCAATCTGAAAAACTCAATGCTCAGGTAGAAGAGAGAAAGGCTGCTGAGGGGTATGAGGCGAGGGGGCTTGACTTTATATCAGTACCCACATTCACATTTGACAGACCAGAAGTCTTTGGAGAGAGACAGGAGTAATTGTCCCTCTAGAACTCCTGAGCAGGTGAGTAGACGTTGCTTGGTATTAATGATGACATGATCCTTGCATCAACAGTTCCCACCGTCACCAAGAGCCCACTGTGGCTAACAGCTACATCTTTCACTTAGCCATGGCATCGTAAACTGGAATTAATATGAAGAACTGTGAGTGTTTGCAAGTGAATGTGGACATGTGCGTTTCTTTGCTGTTGAGATGGAAAAAAAGGTAGAGAACTTTTTTCTATTCCCAGAGTTCTTTGGCTTGATGCGTTTCTAAGAGGGTGAGGTGTGCATTCTCAGGTGACTGATGAGGTTGCGCTGCTGGGTGAACTTCCCCCCGCATAGCTGGCATTCATACGGCTTCTCCCCAGAGTGTACACGCATGTGCTCTGTCAGACGGTACTGGCGTGTGAAGCGCATGCCACACTCTTCACACGCAAACGGCTTGAGGCCAAGGTGGCTGCGCATGTGGCGTGTCATGGTGCCCCTCTGGGTGAACATTTTGCCACAGATGTTGCAGGGGAAAGGCCTGGTCAGCCAATGGCTCTTTTCATGTTGTCTCAGAGTTGCGGGGTCTTTGTAGCTCTTACTGCAGACTGTACACTTGAACGGACGCGCTTCAGAGCCAAAGCTAGAGGGACCCACGGGGGCAGAGAGGTCCTCTGCCTCCTCCTCGTCTTCCTCTTTCACAAAGGTCCCTGCCTCTTCTTTGATGTAGAGCTCATCCTCATTGTGAGTCTCCACGTGAGCATTGAGCTGCTCAGAGCTGGGGAAGCCCTTACCACAGGGAATGCACACATAGAGGTTGTCCCCAAACGCTGGCTCAAAACCTTCTTGCCGGTAAACGTAGTTGGCGCTGTGGTTTCCCCCTCCTGTTCCTCCTCCACCTCCTGCACTCTCTCCATCACTTTGCCCGCTTTCATCAGTGTGGTCTTGACCATTTTCCCCTCCTTCGTCCTCATCTTTACATTGGAAGGACTGGTCAGAGGAGCGTCCATCTTTAGCACCCACAATCACCCCGTTAACAAGGGGCCTTTCATGATCCTCAGACTTCAACCCTGATGCCTCTCTCTTAGGCCATTCGTTCTTGCGGGCACCTTGCCGAGTTTTCTTCTGGGGTGGAGGGCCATCTGGCTGGTTTTGGTTGTCCTCTGAGGCTTTGGAGGAGGAGTTGAGCTCCTCTGAGCCGGTGTCGACACCTGGTAGGGTGGTAGAGGAGTCATCCAGTGAGGCACTGTTGGTTGTGGATACTGAGGCAGATTGAGGGGACTCTTGGGATATGCTGTGTGGGCTGAGGGCATCAGTGGCTGTGCCAGCAAAGGGAGGGCTCTTCTTGGAAAGATCTAGTCCAAGGTCTGGTTCCCCAGCACTTCCTCCACTGCTGAGATTTCCATTACTGCTGCCATTCCCCCCATTGCCATTCCTCCCAGAGCTGCCAACAAACATTTCGTCATCTGAGAGCTTGTCCCGAAGGCCTTCATCTGGCTGTGGCTGGTCGACGTCAGATGGGGTCGGAGGATAGTGGTTTTTGGGGCCAGCTGGCGTAGAAGTGGAAAGGCGCTGGTTGTTGAGGCGTGAGCGGCTTTGGGGACCTGGAGTGGAGGGTTTACTTGGCAGGGATTTCCCACCACTGCGCTTAAGCTTCTTTCTGCACAGAGCAGCGAGGTCATGGAGCTGGAGGTAGCTGGCTGCGGTTAAGAGGGCAGTGTAGTTCTGTTCATTGCTCTGCTCTGAGGAGGACATGAGCTTCCCAGTGTAGATGAAGTCCAGAACTTGTCTGAATACAGAAGGGTTAACCATCTCTGTGTCGAGGTTAATGAGGTTATCGTGGAGGACCAAAGACTTGAAGTAGATGCTGCTGGCCGCCAGGATGTTCTTGTGGGCGCGGAAGAGTGCATTCTCCACCACGATGATAACATCACACAGGAAGCCCTTGGCTCTCTGCTGGTTGAGTTGCAGCAGCAGTTGTTTGGCATGATTTGGCAGTTCCATTTCCACCTTCCTGCTTTCCTTGGCTCTCTCTTTCTCTTTCTCTCTCTCTCTCTCTCTCGCTCTCTCTCTCTCTCTTCCTACACGAGCACCACCTGAAGCTGAAAGAAAAAGAAAGAAAAAGGCGGTTAGTTTTACATTATATACATTAAGAATTAGACTGATAAATTATTCTTCAATACAGTTTTAAGAGTGACATGCTCAAGTTCAGAAAAAGCTTGTTTTACCAAGCAATGAGTTGTACGAGATATCAAACAGGGCTTGCATTGTAGAAAATGTTGTGCGTTTGTGCAAGCTTAGTTAAATGTTTTGTTTATTGCAGTGCAGTAAGAAAAAACCATGACAGTGACAGTGGTTGGACGTCTGATATTTATAACTATTAATCTTCATGTGTTATGACTCCAACTGTGAGTATAGCAATCCAAGCTATTAGCTCTCACATAATTAGTCAACTGTTAGCATGGCGTGCCACAAAATGAAACGACTGCTTAGAAACTGGAACCCTTCCCTTCCTCCCAACTTCCCTTTTAAACAAATTGAAACTCTACATGGATCAAGTTCTGATACACCTTGCTACTGTTCTGGCACAAAGGCCAAAGGGGCGTAGAAGAAGAAAGGGCAGAGTGACTACTTTCCTAAGGTGCCTCCCCTCAGCTTCTCATCCCTATCACCGCAGAGTAACTCTAGTTTTGGTGGGATGCCCTCTTTGGAAACCTGCTTCACTCTAGCCTCCATTAGCTCATGGCAATGTCAGCCCTGCCCCATTGTCTAGAGCTGGGGGTCGGTGCCACAGCAGGGCCGGGGGGAGGGATTAGGTGACACCTGAGCAGGTAAAACTACACAGGAGCTAGGGCAGAGACTGGGGGGGGGGGGGGGGGGGGGGGGAGGGTGTGGCTCAAAGAAGAGGACAGCAACACCTGATCCTCCCGAGAGGCCCTCATATGGAAATAGGACAGATGAATCTCAATTACTGTTAAAACCATATATTAATGACCTATTCTGTACCAAACGTCTCTACTTCTAGACACTGAAGAACACATTTGGTTGAAGAGATGTACTGCAATAACAGAGCTACAGCCAGAGCTCAGGAGTGATGTAACTGTAGCAGGGAGTGTCCTTTACTTGTGTTCATGATGTTCCTAAAACCCTGGGCATGCTGGGAGTATGGACACACATCTTTAATGCCCCCGATCGGAGCAGGTTATATCATATTATAGGAGATTACACTGTAATGCAGGGAAATGCTTAACTCAAGCCATAAATACATTTGAAAATGTGCCATTTAAACCAAGTGCCAACCTAGATATTTTCTGAAAATCATGTTTCCTAATGTGCAGCAGAAAAGAAGGGAGGGGTTTCTAAAGTAAGCTAGAGAGACTGGAGCGCAAAGCTTAAATGCAAATACACACCACTAAACTCGTCTTTTCTCAAAACCCCTGCTGGAATAACTCATCTGAATGTCCATCCATCCATCCATCCATCTTCTCCCGCTTATCCGTGGTCGGGTCGCGAGAGGGTCATCTGAATGTATCAGGCTAAAGTTCGTACACTAAACCGAGGGCAGGTAGTACAGCCTTTTTTCCAGTTTCAAATAGGTCTGGTGTATACCATCAAGAATAACTGCACAAAGGTAGAAGGCATGCCATCAGCACAACTACTGTGCTCTTTACCATTCAATTGAGCGTAAATACATTAACCAAGCACGTTTTTAGCTATTCTTTCTCAAAGAATGTGACGTTTCCAGCACAATATTGATGCATCTTGACATTCTGAAACAAAATATTGAATATACTATTAAGGCCCTACAGAAAAGCTCTGCACCAATCATTGTCCACAACCTGATGAGGGAATCATTGCAAACCGCTTTCAAAGGAGGTTGTAAGACAGGACGAGAAAAATCTATAAAGGGAACACTGAAAATCATATAAGAACAACAAGGTGAAGATTGTTAAATGGAGATGGCTGGCTGGTGTATCAGAGCGACTGTTTGAACAGTCATGCTAGCTGATACAATCAGCTGGAGTGATCATTATTCTCAGGTCCAGGCCTGGGCTTGTCTCCTCCGCTTTGACACTTCTACTCATGGTCTTCTTCTTCTTCTTCTTCTTCCCCTCCCCCGTCTTTCCCCTGCTCCTGTCTCTCTCTCTCTCTCTATCTCTCTCTCTCTCTCTCTCTCTCTATTACCTCCCACCCTCACCAGCCTCTCACCGGGCATGCAGACAAATCCCAGGAACAGTTCGCTGTCCCCAACATGAATTATAATGAGCCATTCTGCAACACATCACCAAGATATGCATTAAATTGCAGAATGTGCTAGAGGGGTGTGTGGCGCTCTGCCCTGCAGGCGGAAATGGAGAAGAGGGCTGCTAGAAAGAAGGGCCTCTGCTATGATGCCAGCCAGGAAGCCATATATCAGTCAAGTCTCTCTCCCTACATACACACACCTCTGCAGGCTTTATGGGGGGGTTTCAGGAGGCTTTTCCAGCAGGCCAACATAAAAAGGGGGCTGGGCTCAGAGAAGAGAAGCAAGCTCAGGAGAAAAAGCCCTCCCCCACCCCCTCCTCTTCTCATCCCTCGTTCTCTCTCCTCCTCCTCCTCCTCCCCCCCCCCCCATCACCCACAGCTACCCTCTCCCCCTGGCCCCTCCAGTGCTGTGCTGTGCCGGCTGGATTCCAGGGAGCTGCTAATGGATTACGGCTGATCTATATGCAGCTAGGGTGGGACACGTGTAGGCCCAGCTCCCCTTCAATGGTGCTGCCCAGGAAGGCAGGCTTAATACCACAGGAGACGGATAGGCCTGCACTATGATGGCAGCTCCATCTGTGAGTGCATGGCCCTTCTTGCAGTCTGTAGAAACATTTTCAAGACCAGGTATAGGCTGGTACAGCATTGCCGCCTCACAGTTATCATGTAAGGTCAGTAGCTGGCTTGTGTCCCTGTATTTCGAAGCCCCTTCCTAAAGGCTGGCAAGGAGGTTTAGAGATAGCAAGTTGGCTGCTAGAAGGAATGCTGTTAAAAAACATTACCTGCCATCACCAAATATGGCCCCACATACCAATCAAAACAGCTCTGGGCTTGTACTACAGACCAGGGTATAGACATTGCCCTTCGTGCACAGGATCAGTTTACCTTCTCTGCAGTATTAAAGGTCCCATGTAATGGCCATTTCTACTGATCATAATTCCATTGTTGAGGTATACTAGAATAGATTTATATTTTCCAAAATCGCATTGGTTTCTCATACAGCATTTTTTCTCATTTAATAGTTTATTTGGCAGGGACAATGCACAGTAATGAACACTTAAAACATTAAAATGTATCAAGCGTAACAGTGCCAGATTTAGTTTTGAGCTCATCTCTGTATAGTATGTGTATTCACTCTCTGTCCTAAACGGCTTGTTGGAGCTCCTGCCCCCACCCCCGCCCTATGAGCCCAGTGGCCGTCTGCAAGACAGCGAGACACAGCTGAACCCAGCCCGAACACACACACACACACACCGACTCACAGCCTCGCCGCGTCCCGCCGTCTCAGGGAGGAGAAATCGGCGGAGCTGCAGCTGAGAAAAGATTGAGTGTGTGTGTGAGGAAGTCCGCGGATTGGTCAATTTGGACCAATCCACGGACTTAACGTAACGGCTCCGCGGATGTAACGTAACGGCCCCACGGATTTGTCCATTTGGACCAATGGGTCCATTTGGGTATGGGCACATCAGTGTGCCCAGGAAGAAAAAGAGAAATCTCCAACGAGGCGTTCTGGGGCAGCATAGACAGGTATTTTCTGTGTTAGAGTTTTACTCGCTACAGGGTGTACTTTGAGGTTTACATGCATAAAAACCTTCATAAACACACAAGGAGACGGGTAATAACCGGAAAAGCATGACATGGGACCTTTAAGCTGTTCAAAAAATGACTGTGGCTTAATGATAGAGGGGAGACACCTACATTCTAAAACACAGCACCCTACTGATTAGCCTCCACATTGACTTGTGTCAGTAGTGTGCTGATGAGGAGAAGAACAGACAGAGTTGTATACACAGACTTGACAGGTGTGATCAGGATAACATATCCGTGTGTAGATCCAGGAGGGACAACTCATACTACAACTAATTTTAAGTACCATTTTTTTTAAATTATCTTTTCTTTTTAATTACTGATTTTAAATTCCATTTTCTTAATGTCTTTCGTTTTTTGTAAAGCACTTTGAATGGCCTTGTGTTGAAAGGTGCTATATAAATAAACTTGCCTTGCCATGTGCTTTACTCCATTTAATTCTCCACTATGGACAGTATCCAGGGATATTTTAAAAATGCAATTGCTATTGACAGTACCCGGGCTTTGTGCAGGAGGTCCCTTTAAGTGCTGATTACAATTATCCCCAACCTCTCAGTGGTCTGCACGATTTTGGGAAAAAAAATCGAATTGCGATTTTTCTGACAAATATTGCAATTTGCGATATTTGTTTTTAAACGACCCAACGGAATTTTATTGTGAAATGCGGCCATATCTCCGGCTAGGAAGGTCGCATCAACATGCTCCCGTCTCTAGCACCCCCGCAGCCCGAGCTACAAGTGAAATAACTAAACTTACATGAAACTTCCGTTGGGTTGCTTTAAAGTCAAGCTTCAGTTTAAGATTCACCCTGTAATAGATGTAAAACATGTGATGGAGCATTACTGAGCTGACTCAGATGGTTTGTTTCACCAAACCATCTAGGAAAGCTTCATTGGAAGCCATTTGGAAAGGGCAGGCACTTTCAAAAATAATTGGCAGGTGATTGGATCAATCCGTATTATCACCTTATATCATGGGCCACTTCTGATTGGTTAACAATGGCTGGTACATGTGGAGCACAGCACTTATGATTGGTGTGGATGACTGACACACAAGAAGTAAAAAAAAAATGTTAAAAAAATCGTAGGCTTTGCGATTTGATAATCGCATCATTTCAAATCGCGATTTCAATTTCAAATCGATTAATCGTTCAGCCCTAGTCTGCAGTGTTGCAGATTCAGCTCAGCTCGTTTAGAACCCTTTACGAAATGGTACTAAAAAAAAAGCAGCATGTATAAGGTACAATCTGCAACTTGTCCTTATTTTAAAC